TCAATACCAATGACATGACAGAGGGCATCAATACCAATGACATGACAGAGGGCATCAATACCAATGACATGACAGAGGGCATCAATACCAATGACATGACATGTAAAATGGTCGCCTTTAAGCACAAGGGGGCTGTCCCGAAACATGAAGTTTTGAGAATATCGAAAGTATAGGTTTTGCAATTTTTTCAGTTTCTTTAAAAGACAAGGAGAGTTTTCTTTATAACCAACAAAATATACACACCAATGAAACCAAACTTATCCTATAGGTAGGGCAATACCCACTTTTGGTGTAGGTCAAGATTTCTGGAAACCCCCGAAATCTTGGTTAGCCCGCTTGTTCTTAAAAGCGACCAATTGATATAGAGTTAACGCCCATATCAACACTCTTATGAGATGCAGGACCTCCGAGTTTGACGTATATCTCCAAATGGACTGAAAGTGACTTTTCAAATGACATAAGATTCGACCGCGCTAAAGCTGGAACAGCGCGCACTTTTTAATGATATCGATGAAATTTGACTTCCAATTCGACCAAACGGTAACATATGATTCGCCATCACAAGAATCATTCATTTCCATTTCCACAAACGTAGGTGTCACGGAAGCTAATTCCAAGGTGAGTCAATTGACAAACTGACGGAGGCGTTATCTTGTCAATTGAAGATATTGATTGGTTTTCAAACCTGCGACATGTTTATGTCCTGTATGTTGGCCTTGCTTTGAGATTTATTTTTGTTTCTCTCGCTGAGCCAAAAGTCTCCAGAAAACGTTGGAAACAGGCGAAATTAATCTATAAGCAAGAATATAAAACGATTGTATTGGAATAGAAAACAAAGAACTAAGAGGAATACACACGAAAAAGAAGAAGAAGAAGAACCAGCATACAATAAAGAAACAAACAAAAAATAAAACAAAAGAACATACAAAAATAAAACATACCCCCCCCCCAAAAAAAAACCCCCAAAAAACCCACAAATTAAAACAAAACGACAACAACAACAACAACAACAACAAACCCAATAAAAACCCAATAACC